TTGCATTACTGACATGAATCACATACGGCTGCAGCATACTTTTCCTGATTTCAGTTGGCTACATCGAGATTGCATTACTGACATGAATCACATACAACCTCATGTGGGGTTGCCTTCTACCGTCAAGCCTGGGAATGATCACTCTTGGGACTTTGGTGGCAACTTGAATGGTCGAGTCGATACATATCCAAGGCGTTCTTATAACGTGCAGTGTTCTGCTGTTGAAAGATGGGGGTATAATTTTGATGTGCCATATTCTTTACCTGAGGGAGCAAAGCATGACTTTGGAAGATGGATGGTGGAAGTGCGAAAAGGAACCTCCAGAGAAGACCTGTATTTAAAGCATGAGAACCACATGAACATCTCGAGTTCAAAGCTGCCAAGGGTGTGGCCAGGGGTGCTGCAACTCTAATCTAGTTAAATGCTAGTGAGACTTGGGAATTGTGGTAATGGTATTGGAATCTAAGAGGATGTATGTAGATTTGTGTTCGCCAACACTTTATTGATGTTTTGAGTTGTGAAGCTAGCTATGCATTAGTGTATATAGCATCAACTATGCAAGGACTGTTCCTTGCTTAAACTGAGAATCTCATTTGGAAATTATATTTTGGATAAAACAGTTACTACTTCTTTATATCTTGTCATTGTTCTCTCTGGCTCATTTTCGTACTGCGGCATAGTGAAAGGTGGAAAACAAGATTGATTTATTGTTATTATTATTATTATTGTTATTATATCGTAGATAAGAAGGAAAGAGCAGAGAAGAATATGAAGCATTTTCCTCGAAAAGCCCTGTAATCTGGCTTGGTCTGCAGAACCGTGTTCTATATTATTACATTAGTTGATCATCTACCGTAGGGTCAACTCATGGTCTGTGCAATCCAATTAATTTTCTCAGTATGAAGGCTATAAAAACCACCAAATCCCCTGTCTGTCTGTATTATCTTTGTTCTCTGCTAGAAAACTCAGTTCATTAACCCGCACCCTCTGCGTACTACATACCATATATACAACATGAAGGTAAGGCCTGTCTTTCCTTTTCCTTTCTTTTTAAGTTTTCAGTAATTGTGAATCAAAGTGCACATGTATTCATGAATTGTTTGTTAATGTATTACTGGTGCAGCAAAAGATAGTCATCGAAGTGCAAATGAGCTGTGAAAAATGCAGAACTAAGGCGCGGAAGATTGCTGCTGAAACAGATGGTTAGTAATAGCACCACCACGTTAATTTCCAGGAAGATGATTTAGTCCATTGTGATTTTCCTTTCCTTCTAAAATCTAGTCTCTTTGTTTCCTTCCTGAAATCCTGAATGACTAACAGGTGTTAGCTCATTGGCTATAGAAGGTACAGACAGAGATCAAGTTGTTGTGATCGGAGATGGAATTGATTCAGCAAATCTGACCCGTACACTCAGGAAAAAGGTTGGATTCGCCACCATACTTAGTGTGCAAAAAGTGGAAGACAAAGTGGAAGCCAAAGTGGAAGAAAAAACTGAACCTCCAATTCCATCAAGTTACTGTCAATATTTGCAGTGCACTACTCCCACATTCCACCAAGTGGTCTATGATCCCACCCCAAGTATCTGTCCCATCATGTAATAAACATATGAATAATTAAAGATGTGTGTTTGCTCCTGTTGAAAATGCAGGATTCCAGTGTCTTCACTCTGGATTATTATCGGTTGTGGTTAATAAATGTACTCCTACTATTCAATCAAAACCATGAATAACAAAATGGTCTTTTTATTCTTCACAATTTGAATTTTAACAGAACAAGAGAAGGAATTTCCATCTTGAAAGAAATTGCAGGTTCCAGTATACTTGATACACCTTTCCATGGATTCACATCAAATAGGAAGACTTGTAAAACAAAAAGAAAGCATACTCGGCCAATAAGTCAAATAATTCCCACTTCCGTTTTTCTTCTAAAAAAAATTCCCACTTTCATTTTTCTGTACTCATCTGCCATAAGTCACGGTCAAGACAATTGGAAATTTCTCCTAAAATACTAATGGAGACACAGGAAAATTATTCATGCATGGAATTATGGAATGGAACTCATTCAAAGTTTGATGCGTGTATTTACTTCATCAACAAGCCGGATGGAAAATTCTAGTCAATTTAATCAACCTACTTTCTTTTCATCAACTTCCACCAAATCATACAATCATTTGCGTCCGCAGCAAGGAGAATTGTCTATGTAAAGTGACACTTGATACTATAATAATATATTGAAATTATTTATACTTAAATAACACTTCAGCAATTCTTTTTCTTTTTTTTTTCAAACAGGGGATAATATAGGGGAAGGGAAAATTTTCAAATAGTTAATAAGAATCAAACTCTCGATTAATTGAACTCAAACATTAAAATTTAAGAATCAACTCTTAGACCAAAAACCAGTTCAATACTTCAGTAATTCAAATATGTATTTTCTGCCGATTTACATCACAATTCACAAGCATTACCATTTGACTCAATGGGTTCAAAATCATTAGCAGCAATTACTTTCGAAACGGGCTTCATACTTTGAGCGCCCATTATTTTGGGCCTAATACCACGATGAAGCATCTTTTTTTTCTTTTTCTTTTTTTTCCTTTTTTTTTTTTTTATTTTTTTCTTTTTTTTTTTTTTTACATTTGATAATAACTGATATAAAAAAGAATAGTGATTCTCATTTTTTTTTAATTCTCATTCACTCAATTCAAAAGTCAAATATAAGATTTTCAATTTAAAATTTTAATCATTTAATTAGTTGAGTCACTTTAATTTTGTTTAATTTTGTTTTTAATTACTCCTTCCTTCATTTTAGATGTTAAAA